ACGCCCTGCCGGTGCCCCTCACTCCCGACCCGCAGCCCCCCAGCCCTGCCGGTGCCCCTCACTCCCGACCCACAGCCCCTGCTAGCCCAGCTGAACGCCTCCTGAGCACACAATGCCCGTCGTGCTGAACCATCCATTCCTTGCACCCGGGGAGCTGACGCTGCTCCACACATTGCACCCGTGCCCAGTGGTGCAGGGCCCCGGAGCCAGCGTGGGCAGGACCTGGCCCCCAGCGGCGTGAAGCCAAGCAGCCACTCCGCAGTGGCAGGGAACACTCCTGGCATGTCGGTATGTCCGGCGCCGAGGCTGCAGGTGGGCGAGGCCAGGGGGAGGAGGTGCTGGGCATACGGCCATGCCAGCCCTGCTGGGTGGGCGAAGGGGAGGAGTCGGGCGCCAGCGGGGGGAGGGGGGGCTCTGACTTTGTGCGGTGACAAGCGCCGTCCCCCACGCCCGGTGGGCACAATGCCGGCTTTGAGGGCTCAGGCCAAGCCAGGCTCAATGGGCCGATTCTCTGCCCTGGAGCGAGTGCTGTGGGGAGGCCGGAGGGAGACCAAACAGCTCTGATCTGGCAGTGGCGGGAGAGGGCGGCGGTGGTGCCAATGCCAGCGTGATGGGGGCACAGGCAGAAGGCCAAGGCCCTGGGGGGGGGGCAGGCCGGTGTCAACAGAAGCTGGCACCAACCAGCTGCCTCCCCCAGCACAGTGCCACCCCCCTGCTCCACACCATCCCCACCCCCAACGGCCGAGCGCCCCAGGGAAATCAGAGCCCCCTCCCGCCAGCTGACCGGAGACCCTTGGGGGACCCTTTCCCAGCCCTGGGCTGGAGGCAGGAGGGCACCTGGGCGAGGGGGTTTCTCTGCCCTCGGGGCAGGGCGGGGGGCAGCTGGGCAGGAGATCCGCCCCCCAAGGGCGTCCCGGGCGCACTGACCTTGAGCGCCTGGTTGAAGTTCTCCACCATGTTGATCCACTGGCCCGTCTGCTTGGCGAACTGGGCAGCTTGGATCTGCAGCGTCTTCACCTCATGGTCCAACTTTCTCTGGTTCACATAGGCCTGGGCCACCCTGGGCAGGGCAGGGGGGGGGGATCAGCCAGGCCCCGGGAATGACTTTACATTGTGCCTCTTCATATAACCTTGTGGTGGGTCTACCCACGTGTGACCTCTGTTTTCATGGGACTTTGTATCAAAGCCTCATTTAGAAACTTTGCATTGCCCTTGGTATAATATTATAGCCCCTAAGGATAAAATAAGATAGAAGAAAGAAGAACAGGAGGACTTGTGGCACCTTAGA